GGTCGGCAACTGAAGGGTGCAAATGTCAGGCCGGGTATAGGGCGCAGCGAAGCAGGCAGTACCCGGAGTCACAGAGAAGGGCGTTTTCGACATGCAGGACTTACAATGCAGCCCTTAGCGCTTGCGCGGCGGCGGGGAAGGTGGAGCTGGCCCTGATACTGATGGAGGAGATGCAGGCACGCAGTGTGCTCAGCCCGGTACCTCAATCCACTGCAGCTGCAGCTTGTTGGGTTGTGCTCCACAGGAGTCGGGGATCACTCCTAACCTGATGACATATAGATCCTTGGAGAATGCATGGAGCTACATCATGCCATAACTCCCTCAGCTAGACGCTCGCAGCATCTAAGGATATCTCATCCAGTCCTGCGAAGATTCCGGCAGCTGGGAGCTGGCGCTGGACTGCAGTCCAGTGAGCGAGAAACTTGTAGCTTCTCTCGACGAGCCTGTCGCTGCTCGACGCGGCAGGGGCTCTGGCAGGATCTGACGGCTGAGATGCAGATGATGGACCTCGAGCCAAAGCAGCTCATTTTCGGTGCGCGGCCCTGGCGAGAGCATTTATTGCGCCCATGCGATCCCATACTATCCCAGACTTTCCGTTCTGCCCAGGCTCTGTGGCTGCGGCATGCAGAAGAGCCGGGTTGGAGAAGCTGGCGGCCGCCTACGACTGGAAGGTCCGGCGATGTTTGTGAAAGTTTATTCACATAAGTCTAAGCATAACGCATATTTCGCAAGAAGAGAGCCGAGGTCAGCCCGGCCTGATTGCCCAACTTTGGGCCGCAGCACGCGCAGCTGCTCCGGAGCTCTGAAATGGCTCGTCGCGTTTCACTTGCCTTTTTCGCATTAAAAAGTACGAGTGGAAAGCCTTCAGAAGGGTGCCTGCAAAGTCAATCCTGTCATCGCGCCGGCGGATGACGGATCGTAGTGCTCGATCTCCGGCTCGTAGCCATTTGACTGGCTTACTCGTCGCCTCGGCACATGTGTCGGCCAGACGCCCAGCCAACACTGCTGCACTCCAGTGGAAACGATGGGGTTACTAGCCAGTCTTCCGTTCATGTGGCTCATGAAAGGTTCGCTGCCACAAACGGTCCGTTGAGTGTGGTGGCCATATGCGGTAGCCAGTCCACACTGCTCAGCCGGGCCCGAAGCGAGATGGGAGTAAGCAGCTGAGAGATGCGAGTAACCTGACTTGATCTGCATTGGTGTGCTTAAGGTTTCGATGTGGACGAGACGGCAGGCCACTTGCTTGATGGTCTAGCTGCTGGGCTGACTTTGGGATTCAGCTCTTTTTTATTCATATCATTTTTTATTTTCATAATTTTATCTTGTTCTTAAAATGGCCGCAACTCCTCGGTGCAACCTGCCACTGTAGCTGCATGTGGGTTGATAAACCCAGGCTGGCTTCGCAGTCTGCCCGACCCTCAGCCAAGCAGCGAAAAATCAAATGGAAGATGAAACAAGCCTCGGGGTTGTTTTGAAGATACATAGCTTCGTGATGTCAAGCCCCGACTTCCAGCCAAGTCCATTTCCCGTGTTGCTTCCGTATGGCACAGGCAGGACAGTGGAGAAGCAGGAGGCAGCATGACGGGATTGAATGTCGAAGCAGTCGAAACATCAGATGCTGTTAGTTTCGCTGGGCATTGGTGCCAGGAGGGCCTTGCAGGAGGTGAAGCTGAGACAGATCTGACCTCAGCAGGGTTTTGCCTCGCAAATATCCGGAACTCGATCGCTGGGTGTGTGGACTTCTCCTTTTTGCCGGCAGCTATGAGGTTTGGTTCGGCGACCCGCGCCGTGGTAAATGGAGCGAAGGCACGCGTGGTTGGAAGTCTTTGCACGAAAGCTGTTTTGGCTGGGGCTGGTGCAGATGCTGAGTTGGGGCCAGCTGCCCCCGCCTGAAGCTGCAAGGCAGTGCAACAAGGATTTTGTGTTGGAACTGGGATTCCGACCAAGGAAGCAGTCGACGAAGTTGAGGTGCTGGAAGAGGCCTGCGAAGCTGCGGAGCTGGCTCAGCTTACAGTCGCCCACAGCTTTTTCAGAAGCCATCTTGGTTCTTTGGATGTTCTTGGAATCCCCAATCGATGGAACCACAGCAATGGTCAGATCAGCGAGACAGCCCCGACGGGTCGGCTCTGAATTCTTGTGAGATGGTTCTGACGGACTTCACCCGGGCACTGGAACTGCTTCGTGTCGTCCGGGGTGACGAGGCACAGAGAAGCGCAAGACTACCAGCAAGAAACCAAAGAAGACCTTACATACTACCATTTTGCAATCAGGCTCAAGGGGCCATTTCCATTTCTGGGTTTTTCCTGTCACGTCCTGTCTATTTAGGACCTACTTCCATAAAGAGGTATCATGCTGAAAGATCCATGGCCACAGGCCCTTTGGACATCCAGCTGAGTATCATCATCACAGTCCTGCCCTGAATATTCTGATCTTTGATGTTGGGAGGCTTAGAGTGACAGGTCAGCGCCTACTCCCAGAGCTCGGTGCGCGCTTTTCTGCGGCAGACGAAGGGCCAGCTCGAGGCAGAAGACCACTACAACCGGAAGGCTCAAGCCTTTGAGCTTGGATCCGCGGAAGATGCCCGGGCTGTTGGGTTTTACTTCGTCTCCTATGCCTGGGAGCCCCCCTCTGGTCTTGATGCGCGGAGAGGTCGGGAATAATCAGTCGTGGCGGTTCGGGCGGTGAGTGAAATCGGAAGTGTTCGCTGACTGCTTTAATCTAGCTTGCAGGTGTCACTGAAGGCGAGACTCCTTTCCTGCCATCCATAGAGCAGCAGCAGGGAAGGCCTGAGATTTTCGCCGATGCCCGCGACTGGTATGCACAGGCGCAGGCAAAGTCGCTGCTCCTTGAAAGCACGAGGAATTTCGGCAAAAATCATCCCGTGAGTTTGCTCTGCAGCCGGCTGTTCTGTCAGAGTCCAGGTACTTGGAGTGCCGAGGACAGCGCGAGCTTCACCCGCGCGACCTGCGGTTCTGGATCGAGAGAGCTAGCCTACCACAAAGTGGGCCAATCTTCGAGTTAGCCAGGAGCCAGTCTTTCTTTCTACTCGAGTACATCCTCCTGTCAAAAGCGATGATTGCTGTAGCCTCGCCTCATTACTTCTCCAGAGGAGAGGGCACCTAAATCAACGGGATTTGTTGCAAGTACCTGCAGCTCCCGACCCGGGGTCTTGAGCAAAGTCGCCTTTCGTGCTACAGAGGATGGTGCTTGTTCGAGTTCGCATCGAAGCTGGCGACAGCTCCAGACTCAGACCCCGCAGCCCTGGGCATAGCCTGGAAAGCCTTCGTCTCCTTCGGCAGCAGGCTCGGCATGGACTTTCATGGCTTCTTTTCGTGGCCGCTCTTGAGAGTCATCCCGGGTGCGTATAGTTGGAACATTGTAGACTAACTGATTACTATCTTTTGACACAAATACAGATTTGCAGCCCGGGCATCAAAGGTTAGCGGTTAGCACTCATGATCAGTCTTCATGGCGATTAGCGATCTCTGCACGAAGCAGCTACGACATCTTGCTTTGCCCGTCAGCATATCTTGATGTCAATAACTTCAATAACAATAGATGTCCTCATGCACATCGGCGGGCGGAGCCGGGAATCGTGCTCTCGGAACATGATCGCAGGAAAGACGGATTTCCCGTGTCTCTGTATGCCGACGTAATACGCTTCATCTCCATTGAGACCGCGGAGTTTTCAGTGGCGACTGATCGTGAAATTCTGCTGAGTCACGTGGACAAACTCTTTGTCTCACGGGAGGCTTTTGACCGGTTTGCAAAGTTCGTTGCGCTGGCGCGGCTTGGCAGGTCATGCTACACGCGTGAGGATCGAAGACCCTTCGCGCTGGTGGCTTTGGAGGAAGGCTTCGAGGAACTGGGAGACCTGCTAGCGGCAGAAGCCCTTTTCGATGCGAGGAAGAGCCCGGACGCCCTGCAAAGTTGCGACGAGGCTCTGCGCCCTCTGTTTGCCAAGGAAAGGAGACAAGCTGTTCGTATACATACCGTGGAGAGCTTGCAGCTCTTGGCGATGCAAGCACGGCACGTGCAAGACGGCGGAGCCCAGTGATGGGTATCGAGTCCAGGAGTGGCCAGGAGCAAGAAGGAATGGCCAGATCGTTCTGGACACTGCGGCGTTGCGCTGCCTTCTTGCCACAGGTTTGGAAGCACGTGATGCGCGCCAAAAAACGAATGATGCACAGAAGCTGAAGGGCCCTGCAGCGTCTGCTGGCATGAGCGAAAGACACAGGTCTCTATTCAATGAAAGCTTTGATCCTTGAATTGCCTGGTCAGACTCGTGCTCTGGGAGGAGGCTGGCGGCGAGCCCTTCCCTCATCGGACCATGGGAGCATGGAATCTCTTAGTGCCACGCAGTTCTTGTTTGGTTGCATACTCTTCATGGCCTCAGGCCTTGAGGTGTGCCATCCAGGAGTTCAAGTGGGGCCAGCACCTCACAGCATTGTCTTCCACAGGTCTTCCAAACACTTGTGAAGATTCGCATGTTGGGGTTGGCTAAGGAGATTACACGACCAAACCGAACACCAGGCAGGCGCACGGCAGCCAAGGGAGGTGACGAGAGACCAGTCCCGAAGTTGAGGTATCGATACACGCTCTGTGCCATCCACGGCGACCCGCAAATCGGCATAGACTCTTCGCCCTCAGGAGGTGGGAGATTCAATCATCCCGAGTATCCGGGCATCACGAGCATGATGTTGCAGGCCCAGCGAAACGCGGCCCCGGCCTGCATGTGGCAGCCCAGGCGAGCGGTGTCAATGTGAAAGCACACTGCAGTAAGCGAGTGGGCTTGATTCCGAGGTGGAGCTGGAGGTCGTCATCCCGGCAGCTGATGGTGACCACCAGGCCGGATCGAGGGATCCTACAGGTAGTCCCTCAGAATGAATGCACATCACCAGCATGGGACAGGTGTTCTTCAACCGTGGTGTGGCTGGCTCGCAGCGATTTGCGCGCCTGTCAACGGGGACGCGAGAGACACAGCCTCAGGTCTTGTTTTTGCAGATCTAGATCCATACACATCATGTGCGTGGATTTACTTTGTTTGCCTCATGTAGAGGAGCGGACCTCGGAGTTGGGAGCAGTGGCAGTGGCTCTCGAACGGACTGGAGGAGGTGCACTGCAACTGCCGAGATCGAGTGCGGCCAGCGTCATTTCGATTCTGGAAGCAAGGCTCTGCTGAGCTTCATCGGACGCGCCCACAAAGGATTTGAACTGCGATGCGCATTCTACGAAGCGTGCGGGGCTTGGTGTCATCATGGAAGGCGGCCCACAAAACTTCATATTCGTTGCATGAGGCATTATCCGCCCGTGATGAGGGCGCTTGCAGCAGCTGAGAGGATCGTGTTTCTGCTTCGGCTACCTGTTAGGGACGTTTGGTTTTCTGTAGGCCCGAAGCCCTGCAACGTTGCGAAGGTAGCCGCGAAGCCTTCCGAAGTCACAGTATGACCCCCACCTCAAAATAAAGCTTGCCAAGCTGATGATGCCCCGGTGCCAGGAGAGGTGCTTCTGTGCAGATCGCATCCCACCCAGTGTGTTGATGTCGCAAGAGGGCACACCCGACTCATCGAGCAACATGTCGTGGGTAGGTCATGGACTGGAAAATTGCATCGTGGTCAGATGACAAAAAGGCGCACGACGATTTCCTGAACGTCATTTGCTGTCTCAGAATATCGGGCGAAGGTTTGGTCCCAGCGCGGGCCACAACACTTGAACTATTGGGCCTTGGCAGAGAGCGGTTTGCTCAACTCGGGGTCTGAAGCTCGGACTCGGGCCCGGGGGCAAGGAAGGGAAGGCGGGGGGTCCGGATGGGACCAGGGCCGAGCCCAGGCGAGTGTTCCATCGGACCAGGCCTTTAGCAGCCATCAGCGGGGTGCTCGGGACTGTCCGTGAGGCATCCTTTCTGGTTTTTGCTCGAGACGTTCTTTCGGGTTGCAGGTCACAACAAGTTCATCATCCTTACGGCGCCAGATGGAGCACTGTCTGTGTGGCTTGGGCCTCGGGGACAGTAAGCACTAGCCGCACTACTGGTAGCAGCTCGTGTACAGGCCTCCTTCCCGTCGCAGGTGATGGCAGATATTACGTCGTCAGACGTAGTCATGTGTAGCTCTCGAGGAAGTTACAGCCGAGACCGGCGATTGAAACGAAAGCCATCGCTTAGTGTGGGGCCGTTTTGCTGGCATTGCCCAGGACCGGTTCTACTAACATAACTGCTGGCGCCATCTTTGGTCACTCCAACGTCGGGCACATTGTCGCACGGCCGCTTGCCAAGCGCTTCAACCATCTGCTGCTGAAGCTTCCAAAAGTTTGGTTTGTCTCGAGTGTCTCTAGCGTTAACTTGCACGAAGCTTGCTCGCCGTTCTGTCGCACTTCCACTTCCATAGACTGCAGCCTTGAATCCCATGCAATCAAGTCGGAGACTAAACATGCGCCGTCCAGCTTGCAGCTTTGGTCAACTCATGGGCAGTGTGCGTGGAAAAGGGACTCAGAACAGCGTTAAGCCGTTAAGCGGTTTCGGCCTTGCACTTGCGCACTGACACTTTTCCCTCAAGGCCAGCCCTCTGCAAGAAGTACATGGCGTATTGGGAGCGGCTTACGCGGGACCCGGAGAAGAAGGCGACCGGGCCGCATGGCTGGCGGTGTCGGAGCTTGGTTACGTTGCCAACGCAGAGAGAAACCGGATGCAATCGGCAAAGCAGTACGTCTAAAGCCTGTGTTGGCATTGCTCCTGACTTAGCTTCTGATGTTTCATGTTTCGTGGCTTGTGGGACAAATTGCGAAACCTTAGTCGAGCCATTCATTCGCGATCAAGATTCCTGCCGTTGGCTGCGTCCGGCAATGGCCAGGATTTGGCCCAGTTCAATGAGCAGCTTTCCCCACTGCCCGAGGAGACGGATGCTCTTCGCATGTAGAGCAGCACTTGCGAAGTGTGGCGGCCCGTAGGAGGAGAGCAAGTGGACTGAGCTGGTTCTCTTCTCACCGCGATTGCGCCAAGCCCTTGTGTGTACATGGACCCCGCTGTGTGCAGTACTTTCTGACCTGTTGGCAGTAGCGATCAACTGCATCACGCCACAGAAGATGTCAGGCTGGGCTGATGCTTTGTCCTTCATGGCCCAACTGATCCTCAAAGCAAGGCCACAACCTTGGCGCCTGTTCTGCTTGCAGCACAGTAACGTGCATCAATGACCCAATATCTCGTGGAAAAGACGGTGTCGAGGAAGTCTTGCAATCACCACATGCCGAAAGGATGCGAACAAGTGCAGGATACGTGTATTTCTTAAATGCCCCAGCAATGGACCCCAGAAGCCGTGCCTGCGATTGTGCGAGTGTGCGAGTCGAAATGCCCGGGTCATGAGCATACGCAAACACCAATTTCGTGGCGAGGGCATAGGGCACTGAGCGCTTGACTTGAGGCACAGCGTAGCGTTTACTGCAGCGTTTGGCATAAGCTGGTGGCTCAGTTTTGTGTGACTCCCTTGTAACTTATGGCAGATGCTCCCGGTCCAGGTCGCGAAATATCTCCAGCACTCTTGGCCGCTGGGTCAGAAGGGGCAGGCATGCAGAACGACTGACGCATGACAGGTGGCTATGTAGTCCTGTATGCTGTGAGTAGCCACCCGCTTCGATGGTCAGGCATGCCAGTGCCGACCTACTTGCTGCTGGAGAGCCAGGGCAATTGGCAGGCATCAAGAGATGCAGGGGTCCAAGCAGCAGTCCACGTTGAACAACGGTGCGCACGGTAATTCGAAAGTGTGCAGTCTTCCGAGGCTGTTCAAGCGCTGCAGCGTCATGGGCCCAGTAGCTGCATTTCTTAACAGCAGCAGTCGACACACCTTGGTGCAACAAGTTCAGTCAGACTGTCGACACGAGACTGATAGCTTCTGAGGAAAGTCCAATGTTCGAGTTGCTTTTGGGATGCACATGGAGGCCGTCTCAGTGTTCGGAATTTGCATGCATATGACTCGTTTCCTTTTGGCACCTCAGCTACAGTTTGTTGTTGTTGATGGAGAGTCTAGGCGCATCTTGCCATCTTGACCGTTGACAAGTTCGTGCTCCACTAGCACTTGCGCCGTTTCAGGGTCATGTACCATGCTCGAGTCTTGAGTTGTGCTACACTAGGACCAGAGGTGCGGAGGGCTGTACAGGGAGATTATCCCGACTTGACACTATCGGATACAGGGACCAGGGCAGAGCCGATCTTGCTTCCTTGCGCAGGTCCCTCCCGGCAAGCCGCAGCCACAAGGCTCGGAGCTTAGAGCAGGCAATATTGATTCGTGCGCCTTGTGCTGCTTCCTTTTATGTGCATGCACATAAAAAGTAGCAGCACGATGTCGGCTCAGGTGGGGCTTGGATACCGGAGACGCTTACAGGGCTGAACGAGCATGCAGCAGCCCAAGGGTCTCTGTAGTCCGTCTTCTTACACACATATGCTAGCAAACGCACTATGTAAGCACATACAGGCTCGAAGAATGACGGAGGTTCAGCGTTCGCGCTATGCCTCCTGATATTCTAGCCTACGATTTCGTGCCCTTGCATTGCGAGACTCTTGATGGCACGGCAGAGCGAGAGAGAGATACATGCACGAGACGAGATAGAGGATCCAGTCAGCATGCACTTCCACATGACCATGCTCGAGTGCCTAGGTGCGGTATGTGCATACGAAGATCCTGCTCATAGATATGTTCTCAGACGAGCCAATCGTCTCTTGGCCGCAGGAGTGTTGGATTCCCCAGTCGTACGTGTATTCAGCAGGTGGCTCGCAAGCAGTGGGTTGTCCTCTAGCCTGTCCACAGCCCCCTAATGGCAGGCTGATGCGTGCTTAGGCTTCCCGATCACACCGCGACCTCTGCACAATATGACAAAGAGACATAGACACAGCCCTTGTTGAGTTGACAGCGTGCCTGAGCTATTTCACGGACAAGCGGAAAAGTCAGATTTGGAAACAACGTTTTGTTGTGCGACGAGGAGGTTCTCTTTCAAATTCAGGCAATGATATTCGTGACCGACGTCTTGAGAGTGTGGGTTCAACGATCCTGGTGTCGGCTGTTCAAGATTCAACCCAGGTTGTCTCCGGCTTGCATCTCAGCAGATGCTGGCACAGTACGCTGACCCGTTGCTTGCGACTGGACATGGTCGCGGTGTAGGCAGTGGAAACTTCTCAAGAGCTTCCATGGAGTCGAACGATGTGCCCCTGCTGCAACTACGACGCAGGATCACGCGAAACCGGAACCCTTGGGCAGCTTGTGCAACAGGAAAATGTCGTGGTGGTTCGTGGCAATACCAACCTGCCTGGGCTCCTATGCTGAAAAGTCTTCCGAGAGGCTTCCGAATGCAAAGTTCCAAGGTCCGACGCCTACTCCGTGGAGTTTTTCCGCATCTTCGAGCACATGCGCTTTCGAAACCACGTGCAAGGCCTTGTCGCAAGCTTGCCAGCGGCTGTAAGCCCGGCGCAGCACACAGCACGCCTTTCCAGCTGCAGGCATTGATAAACGGGTCGAAGTGGAGCCTCCAGGTCCCCAGGCACATCTTCCTAGGCATGTTTACCTGAGAAGACTCGCACATGGCCTCAGGCCGAGGCGCTTGACGAGGTGATGTGTCGTTGTGGTCAAGCAGTCCAGCACCCAGTGCTGCTCATCACGTGATGGCTTGCCGGTCCTTGTGACAATGAGTGGTGGGTAACAGCCCAGAGTCAGAAACATCTGCCCATGAATGAAGTGTAACCAGATGTAGCCAGGTCGCGGAGAGGACCGTGAAGAAAGCAGGCTTCCACGGAAGAGCTGTCATTCGGCTTCAGCGGGAACTGTCTCCTCGATGCAGCTGTTCGTGGGTGCAGGCCCAAACGTGGGGCGACGATTCCGATGCTGTGCTAATCCGCAGCGGCTGTCTTGTGGATTCTTTGTCGGGGCCGTTCGGAAACGAGCATCATCTTTCCAACGAGACCTTCGGCACTGGAGGCCTGGACTGAGGATGCACAAGCAGCACCAAAAGAAGAGGCGCAGGTGCGGCTGCTGCTGTCATGCAGAGCCCGTGAGGCACAAAAGCTTCTCTGTTTTGCCAGGAACCGTGGCCAAGGTGTTGTTACTCCTCTCCTAGCTTCCCGTCCCTTGAGAGGCAGCTATTCAAGGACTGTGTGCCATGAGTTCACCATGAATTAGAAAGGAACTCCCTCTAGCCTCGCATGCGTCGCAGCGGAATTACATGGGCAAGGCACTTGTACTCGCACAAAGCCAGGACCTGCGCAACGGGGCCACCAGCACAGTGCCGTTTAGTTTGGATTCACACCTCAAGTGTGAAAAGATGTCTTTACGGCTGCATGTAAATGGCGTACAGTCCAATGCTTTTTGCGCTGAGTGGTCTCCTTGCCAGGTCTGCTGTACCCACTCAAGAGGAGGAACAGGCTCTTGTTCGTCTTTGCAAGCTATTCCAGGTAAAGGGGGAAGAAGCACAGATTAAGCCCAGATAGGGGCACGGGTTTCGACGAAGAGAGAAGTGGGAAGGAGGGCAGCAGCGGCGACAGCTTCGCCAGTGCGGATGACGGACTGCTGCGGCCTGAGATTCCACGCTTCCCCCCTTTGAGCGGCATAGCACCGTGGCAGCAGTGTCGCAAGACGCAAAAATACAGCATCCGCAACCGTGGCTGTGGGGTTTTGTCACGGAAGCAATGTCCACGAAGTGCGCTGCGGCTGTGCCATCTGAGGCTTGAGCTCTGGGACCTCTGCGGGGTCAGTGAGGACCCTGCAGTGTCAGCGGCTCAGAGACTCAGCATGCCCCGCGATGTCGGGTGTCAGATATGGTATTGGTAACTATTATTCTAGCTTACACTTAATTTCATGTACACCTTCTTATCCGTAGCCATTTTGGCTCAAGCCATTTTGGCTCAAGCCGATCGGGCCATACCGAAAAATTCGGCGTGGGAGGTGGAAGTGAATAGGCTCGCTCGATTGCAGCCATGTCGTTCCCTCCCGCTGGCTTCCATCAAGGTCGGCAGATGGCGGCTCCGATGGCCCCACAGTTCGGGTTGCTTCGCCGGCTTGGTCAGCCTGAGAATCCGGGTAACTGGGGACACTACGTTCCAGGCGAGGCAGAGGCTCCCGAGAATCCCGCGGCTCCAGCTGCCGCATCCGGCGATTGGGGCTCTGGAGGCTGGGGTCGCGACGATCGTCGTGGACGTCGTGACCGTGGGGCTCCTGCTGCTCACAACCCCTTCGCTGTTCAGCGGCCTGAGTTCGTTCGCCAGCTCGTGGTCGAGGAAGAGGACGAGACCCAGAACTCGCTCCTCGTCATCGACAACCGCGATGACCGGGTGATCTCCCCGTTCCAGAACTGGCTGGCCGAGGAGATCATCTCGAATGCCGCCAGCTCGATCAATGTGCTGACGGAGCGGGACTCGGTCATGCCCCCGAACTCGGGCTACCACTGTTCGCTGTTCGCGAACTATACGCTCGATGGCATCAAGGCCGTTCTGCTCTTTTCGATGTCTTCGAAAACAGGGGGACCATGTGCTCAGTGGGACTCCTACGCGAGTCGGGCGCTATCGCACCCGGCTTTCCAGCCCTTCACTTGGCCGGTGATGTTCGATACCTCGGCCACCTATGTGGATGTGAAGGTCTTCAATGGAAACGAGGTCCTGTTCCATTGGGTCTTCAGGGGCTACCGCTCGGACTCGGATCTTTCTGTCCAGCAGCAGTTCTGCGACGAGGTGTTGATCCGGTCAGCCAACGAAGGATGGTTCCGACCCTCGATCGTCATCTCGGTCTTCGTTGGATGGAAGGTCTCCGTGACCTCGTTCGAGGTTGGAGCCCGAGTCTACACGATCGGCCCGAGAGGAGCAGTGATGGCGAGCGACCATGCCATGAGCACCTGTGAGCTCAGGGTGACAGAACGCTCGTCCCGAGAAGGCTATGGGAACGACGCCGATCGTGTTGAGTTTCGGTTCCGGGACGCCAATAACCGGATCGATCTCAAGTGCGGGAGGACTTCGGTGCCTGGCACGTGGCTCACAGTCAGCCACATCTCGGGCCCCGCTCTGATCAGCACGATCCAGGCCTGTCGGACCCAGCGTGCTCGCGTGGAAGGTCCAGACCACATCCAGCAGTTCGCGCAGCTGTCTGCGGTGATCGCCCCCTGGTACCACAGTGCGTTCGCCAACGAACAGGTGCAAGTGGGAACTGCGACAGACGAGTTCCCGATGGATCATGGGAACTTCCACGTACGGGCTAGATCTAAGCTCAGGGTCTGCCCACTGGAGTTCGTCCGGCAGGAGGCGCTCGCCCACCGGTCGCACGATGAGAACAACGCCGTTCGAGCTCGGAATGGCCCCCCGGCTCTCATGGAAGAGGCGGCTCGGCAGGCGGTTCAGCAGCTGGGCTCCTCGGTCACTTCGGCGATCACCAACATGCCCACCTCGGCTCAGCAGGTGTTCGACCAGAGGGTGAGCACTGTTCCGGTGCCGGAGGAGGGCCAGCTCGGCCAGGAGCAGATCGCCGAGGAGGTCGTCACCGATGCCCGCGATCGCATGAGGGCCGACATGCGATTCTCGCGCACGTCGGCTGCGATCACGCCTCAGGTTTTCACCGACGTGCTCCAGCACCGTGAGCAGGCGGAGTACGAGCGGATCAGCACGGTCAGGGTGGAGGAGACGGGCCAAGAGATCACGGCTTCCCCCTCCACTACGACCACGGTGCCGAAGGCGTTCGCCCCGGCTTACCCGCCGGCCAGATCGTCAACAGGGCCCTACACGATGGACAATTCGGAGTAGTTGTCGATCGAAGCCTAGGTGATGGTCGGTTTTTGTGCACGCTCCTAAGAGAGTGGTGCGCCGCGCGACCGAAGCCTCCTGGCGGATCAGCCGGGCTCTTCCGCGGAACAAACATGCCGAGCGATCCTCTCGGCGCGCTAGATCCCAGCGCATGTTCTGCCGGAAGTGAGATTGATCAATACCTGTCTCAGGCACGGCGCTCGGTTACCATTAGCAGGCACGTGCGATCGTTCGTGCAGCTGTTCAGGCCCAGCATGGATAGGTCCGTTCGGAAGATCCTATCCCTCCCCCTGTTCGGGGATGAATTTTGCCAATGGTTGGTGGATCTTCGGATGGCTCAGTTCGAGAAGCTCACGGCTGTTTCGGACGGGACGATCGCTGAGTGTGTGCAAGCATTCATTGATCTTGTCCCTGCCCTCGAGGAACTCCACACGCCAGATCGGCGGAAGAACGAGGAGGAGCTCGGCAGGTGGGTTCCGTCGATCGAGCTGTTGTTTGTGCTGGTTCGTAGCACGGCAGCAGCGGGCTGGGCTGATCTGGCCACTGATCTGGGATTCGGCTTGGCTGAAGCTCCGGTCGTCTTCGGGCGATCGCCACTGAAGTCGAAGGGGACTGGCAAGGAGCCTCCTATGCCATTGCCGCTCGCCAAGAGGCCGCGGGCGATCGAGCCGAGGCCTGAAGATCCGCAGGCATCGCTCAAAACCCGTGAGCTCGGCGAGGCCCGAAAGTGGGGCATGAGGCTGAAAGCGATCGTGGAAAGGTGCGGCGAGCACGCCGCGATCGCGGGCAACCCGAAGCCGGGATCACCCCTGTCTCAAGATGAGATGAATGCATTGAGGTTGATCGTCTTCGAGAGTGGCGGTTTCCGCACTATCCAGCAGTGCGTTCGTCACTGGGAGAGGATTGAGACTTGGGCGAGGTCGCAGAACCTAGTGGTGATCCCGCTGACTACCGACGTGCTCGTCAAGTACCTCTTAGATCTCTCCGACCGAGGTTGCGGCCCCACCGTGATACCTTCGGTACGTGGGGCGGTCAAATGGATCTGCAAGCGGATCGGCTTGTCGTTGCCCGACCTCCTCGATCCCCGGATCATGGCCTTGCAGAAGAAGGTCTATGGCGATCGCGGGAAAGAGACGAGGGAAGCGGTTCCCATCCCTCTGATCTTGGTGGCGGCGCTCGAGCGGTTCGTGTGCGCTCGTTTTAAGTCGAGCCAATTCCCCATGGCGTTCTTCGCATGGTGGGTTCTCGTGATGATCTACTCGTCCCTCAGGTTCGACGACGCGCTCCACGTCGTGCCCGAGGCGCTCGCCCTGAAGGACGAGGCTCTCTATGGGGTGGTTTGGCAGACTAAGGTCGAGCGACAAAAGAAGGGAACGCGGTTCGCGGCGGCCAGAGTCTCCGTCTCCGGATCCGACTGGATGGAAGACGGATGGCACGCAGCTGCGTTCGAAATGGACGATCGCGACTACTTCATGAAAGAGCTCGAATCGGCTGAGCGATTCGCCGATCGGCCTGCCAGCTACCAACGGAGCATCCTGTGGCTGCGGTACGTGCTCACTACTGCAGCTTCGGACGATCTGAAGCGCGGGCACATCTCGCCCGAGCGGCTCAAGGAGCTCCTGAAGATCGTGCCGGAGATCACCTGGCACTCCTGCCGAGTCACGCTGCTCTCGGCGGCGGTCCAGGCGCAGGAGCCCGATAAAGAGATCGGGCTCCAAGCGAACTGGAAGGATCCGAGCCAGCTGGTCCTGAAGTACGCTCGGAGCCGCAAAGAGATCTCGATCGAGATGGTCAAGCGGCTCACGAAGAGGATAGCATCCGACTGGAAATCTCCACCGGAGTTCGAGGCCGACGATACCAATCTGGTCGACTTCGGTGATCTCGCTCTGACCTATGTCACCAAGGCCAGATCGGCTGCGGGGTCCTCAAAGGATCTGAGTCTTAAATATCATGCCATGTATATAGATGGAACGGGCACGGAGCGAACGCTCTGCGGCCGGTACGCGATCACCGAGTGCGAGGATCTCGGCGAGATTCCGCCGAGTACTCAGATGTGCTCGTTGTGTTCCGGTAAGATCTTTACGGAGCCGTGAACACAGCTGTTCGCAGTCACGATGGCCACTCGAGCTGAGCCTCTCCCTGACCGTAGCTTCTCTTTTCAGACAGCTCGTTAGGCAGCCATGGTCGATCGCACCGCATACGCGAATGAGGCGGCGACCCCGAAGCTGAACCTGCGCCAGATCTTCGGGAGACAGGGGCTAGATCCAGCCCTCTGCAGGCTCTCGGCCGACAAAGGTCTCCTCACAGTCGAGATGTTCGCAATGCTGGGGCAGGATCTCACCTCGGCGAAGGCGACAATCCGTCGGCTGTGGCAAGATGACTTGACCCAGCTCGGGGCTGATGCGGCAGCACAGGAGCTCTCCGTGATGTCCTTGGCAGCGGTGTGGCAAGCTGCTCAAGCGCTGCAAACGCAATACGCCTCTCGGCGAGCTCGTATGGAGGAAGACCCGAACAAGATCCCGGAGCTCTCCCAAGAGGACCACGCGGAGTTTCGCGATCGCTTCGTGAGGGTTCACCCCGACGTCATCCTGATCGACGCCAAAGAGCCGCATAAGAAGTTCGTCGAACGGCTGTCCCGCGATTTCCTGATCCATGGGATAGTTCCATTCTACGAGCCGGCCGAGATCAGGACCCGCTCGGATGTTATAGTGGTCAAGTCTGGACTTTCTCGGAACGCCGAAGATCTCCTGTCCATCTCTAAGGCTGATCAACCCGAGCCGGTCACCGATGTCACGACTCTGTTCAACCGTCTGCATGCTTTCTTCATGGCGCTCGAATACCTCAACATTTGCGCGTTCTCACGCGCCGAGGGCCCGCTGAAGTACTTGCAGGAATTGGAGCAGTTCCGCTCGGAATGTCCCGGCTTGCCATTCCTCATGGCGGCGGACCGAGCTATCCGGAAGAAGATCTTTCGCCTGCTGTCTGAACAGAGGGCGACGTACATCTCGTTCTCGCAGGCCCTGGTCGAGGTGCTCACCAACCACAAATATTTGTGGAACGATGCTCGCACTTCAGCGACTCTCTCGAAGATGGAACAGAACCGCCAGCAGCTCGCGAATAACCCTGATCAGGTCAAGGAGGATGAAGTTCCTCCTCCTCCCCACACCCCGTTCAAAAGGCCTCGGGGCGGAGGGAAGAAGAAGAAGCGACTGCAGACTCCTTCGAAGGACGATCCGCCGAAGAAGGTCGTTAAGGAAGATCCCAACAAGAAGCTCAAGCGGGACAATCGGATCCCAGAGAAGGAGTGGAAGCTCATCGCCGATGCGGCCAAGAAGGTGCAGGGCGCTCGCCGGTGCCACTACTTCAACTCCTCGCTCGGGTGCGTGTCTGGCGACAACTGTCGTTTCAAGCACCTGTGCATGGTCTGTGGGGAGCCGCATGCCATGATCAGCAACCACTGATCGGTTCCCAGCGAATCTGATAGTGCTCCTCACCTTACCTTGTCCGGCGCGCGTGGGGGCTGTGATCTGGAATCCCGCGCACAAGATCTCCTGAAAAAGCGAGCTCCGCTTCTGCGTGAGGAGATCCTCGACTTGGCTACAGAGCTCCCTGTTCAGGGTCAGCATAAGGCTGCCGACGAACGAGGCGGGGCTTTCTTCGCGGGAGCCTATCGCCATGGAGGCATCACAAGACTGCGATCGTCCTGTCACTCATGGCCGTGGTCGATCAAGGCGATCACCACGTACATCGCTCAACAGGCTCCTGAGGCGCTCTTCACGTCGTTCGCCGTCCTCTACGATCAGGAGGCCGAACCTCACCGTGACTCGGGCAATGAGCCGATCCCGAACATTGTCTTCAAGCTCGGGTCGTTTGAAGGAGGCGGGCTCTGGATCGAAGACCCGCTCGGGCCCGATGTGAGAGAAATCGAGGGACGCTCCATCCCCGGTTTCCTCACCGACTTCGTCGACAATAAGATCCTCTTCAACGCTAAGGAAGCTCTGCACGCGACTCTGCCCTGGATCGGAACTCGGGTGGTCCTCGCCGTGTACTCGGTGCAGGGGGTCGATCGGATCCCTGCCGACGAGTTCGAACAACTCCTTCAGTTGGGCTTCAAGCCGGCGCCGGTGAACACAGGTGATCACGTGGATCGGTCCTGGCAAACTCTCACTTTTGCGCTCGAGACCCCGGACTCCGATCGGAAGCGGCCCCATGGCGCCCCGGTCAAAGCCGCGGAACATCGTCAACGATCGGCCGGCAAGAAGGCCGTCGCCGCGGGTTACCAGATGAAGAAGTCTGTCGTGGCTCCGCTGATCGGCACGGAGATGCACCCGGGTGAAGCGATCGCTTTCGCCTTGGAAGCTACGCACCCGTTCACAAAGGACGCGGATATCGACCCAGACCTCCTTGATGTTCTGCAGCAAATTGTTCGTGATCCTGCTCAAGTGCGCGATCGTCGAGCCTCTCTTCTGCAGCATTGGGAACGGCGAGCTCAAGATCTGCTCCCGTCCTCTGACTCCTTGCTCAAGCAGATACCAGATCGGCATGTGCGCCGTCTTCTTCGCGGCGGCCCAGACGATCGTCCACTGGAAATGGGTCAGTTTTTCCACGTCGCCCTTTGGCGGGAGCTCATGAATGAGGCCAAATGCAGTGACACTGACCTGGTAGATCAGATCATGGCGGGCATGCCGATCGTCGGCGATATTGCCTCCTCCCACCGATGGAAGCCCGATCGCAAACCTCATGCGGAGCATCTCTCGGTTGATGCCCTTCGCTCGAGGGCCTGGGAATTTCGATCGAAGGTGTTAGGCGCGATTCGGAAATCTCCGATCACCGAGCACTCTCCCAAGGTCTGGGAAGGGACCATGGAAGATGTTCGAGAAGGGTCGGCGATCGGTCCCTTCTTCGACGAGGCCGAAGTCTCGGAGTTCGTCGGCGATGATCGTTGGATCCCTACTCAGCGCTTTGAAGTGGTTCAAAAGAACAAAGTCAGGGGAGTTGACAGTGCTACCTCAAATGGGATCAACATGGCGACGATCGTCACCGAGAAACTCGAACTCCCCTCGACGGACGCGAACGTGGCGGTGATCAAGTGGCTGCGCTCGCGGCTGCCGAAGTCCCCGCTACGTGGTTGGGTCCTGGACGAGCGGCGAGCCTATCGGCAGGTGCCGATCTCTCCGGCCCATCGCAAGTGGAGTGTGGTCGCTCTGAAGGATCCGGCCACGGGAAAGGTGGCGTTCTTCGTGATGGTCGGCCACTCCTTCGGCTTGGTCTCGGCCGTCTATAACTACAACCGCCGCTCGGCTGCGATTACCGACATTCTAAGGCGCGTGTTCATCGTGGCCGGCTTCAACTTCTATGACGACAAGTACGGCTTCGAGCCGGAGGCCACGGCAGATAGTGCGTTCGCGCTGGCCGAGAAGGTCCATTGGTGGCTCGGGGCCCGGTTCGATCAGCAGAAGCTCCAGCTCTGCTCGGATCCCACGATCCTGGGCGTGACCTATGACCTCGATCAGTACTTGCTCAAGATCAAGAAGTCCAGGAAGCAGGAGCTCTTCGACGAGATCTCGTCGATCCTGGAACACGAAGAGATGTCTCCCGGCCAAGCCGGGAAGCTCAGAGGAAAGCTGATGTTCGGCGCTTCGCAGCTCTGGGGGAAGATCGGCCGAGCCTTCCTGAGATCTCTGTCGGAGAGGCAATACTCCCGGAAGACGGTCAGTACGAGCCTATCGCCTGCTCTCCTCTACTCCCTCTACAAGTGGCGGACGCTCGTGATGCATGGGCCTCCGAGGCCTATCCCCAGTTCGGGGCCGCGGAAGTCCGACGTGGTGATTTTCACGGATGGATCGGCGCCGAGCTCGAACCCCAAGGATCCCTCTTCTGAGATGATTGGAGGAGTGATGTTCACTAGGGACGATCAGCCTAGGCAATTCGCCTCGGGGGTGTCACGGCAGATCATGTCGAGGTGGTTCCCCCGGAAAACCCAAATTTGCATGATCGAACTTTTGGCCGCGGTCGCTGCGATACAGACTTTCAGGGAAGAGATCCGTGGAAAGCTGGTCCTCCTCTTTATCGATTCCGAGCCTGTAGAGGCAGCTTTGATCAAAGGCTACTCTGCAAAAGAGGACGTCTGCGAGCTCGTAGGAATTTTCTGGGAGCTTGTTCTGGAGCTTAGGTGCTCTGTTTATATCGATCGGGTACCGACCGATTCGAACCCGGCGGATAATCCCTCTCGTGGTGATGTCGCTACAGGTCTGATGTGTGGTTGGATCACTGTCCTCTCGGACTTTCCGAAAGGAGTTTGAGGGCCTGGGAATATCGCTTGTCTGATGTGTCCGATCGGATGATGTTGCGGTCTGTGGCGAATGCCATGGCGCACCCCTCGGCGATCGGGGGTCCGATCGGACTTGTGAAGATCAAGTGAAATTTTGATGATCCGACTGTGGCCGACTCCCACGTTGCGGTCGCATGAAAAAGGTGCGATCGCCGATAGTCTGTTCAGTGAGGGCACCGAACGTCTGCGATCGTAGTAACTGGTCTCCTAATTATCGGTCTGGTGGGTAGGAATTAGGAGATCAGTTTCGCGATCGTTGGAACAGACTTGATCTATCTTCTCCGTGGCCATTTTGGCGATAGCCGATCGGGCCATACCGAAAAATCCCACCCTCTCCACCCTATCTGTTCTTTTCGGTATGCGGGATCCTCGCAACGACGTTGGCCTTCAAGCGCTCGCTTTCGGCGACACAGATCAGCTCTGTCGTCCCTGCGTGGATTGCGGCCTGTTCACCGGCTGCTTCTGCGACGGGGACGGCCAAGACGAATGTTACGCAGCCGTTCGGGTCCCCCGCGAAGAGTGGGCCCCCAACCAGCGCACTCCTTTGTGCACGGCTTGCGATCGTCGCCTGGATATGTGTCATTTCTGCCGAAAGACCCCCTGGGTCACGCCGCCGGCTCATCGTGATCGCGATCGTCACCAGCCGGCCGGCTACGATCACGGGGCAGATCCTCCCCTCAACTGGGATCAAGTGATGGGCGTGCCCTCTGTTCAGCGGCCGGTGCCCAAAGCGCCCCCGGCCAGAGCTCATCGAAACAGAGGCATGGATCAGCCGGTCTACTATGTGGATCCCAAGGCTGGTCTGCCGCGCCAAGGCCGAGCGGCTCCGAAAGGGCGTTCTCCTTTGTTCGCCGAGCCTGCTCAGTATTTAGTTCCAGGGCAGCCCCCCAGATCGCTCGACGCCGTGCCCGATGACGTTCGCATCAGCGGACCGGCTCACTATGTCATTCCGGGGCAGCCCCCGCGGCGGCTGGATCAGCTCCCGCCCGGTACGCAGCTCCCTCCCGGCACCGAGATCATGGTGCCTACGAGGAGCTCGAGTCCGCCGACCAAAGCGCCGCCGACTCCCGCCCAGATCGCGGCGTACCAGGCTTTTCGCGCTACTCCCGCTCGGACGAAAGCCAAAGCTACTCCTGATGCAGCTTTTCGTGCTGCCGAGCGCCAGTTGATCGACTTGCTCGGCGCGGCCCCCCTTGACGACGATCCGATCGAGGAGCCGTCGCCTGAGCCCGTTGATCCGATCGAAGACTTTTAATTTTGTTCGCGGGGAATATCGCTTGTCTGATGTGTCCGATCGGATGATGCTGCGGTCTGTGGCGAATGCCATGGCGCACCCCTCGGCGATCGGGGGTCCGATCGGACTTGTGAAGATCAAGTGAAATTTTGATGATCCGACTGTGGCCGACTCCCACGTTGCGGTCGCATGAAAAAGGTGCGATCGCCTATAGTCTGTTCAGTGAGGGCACCGAACGTCTGCGATCGTAGTAACTGCTTCTTATATATATATATATGTATATATATATACACACACACACTCTACAAACACACACCCGCGGCCTTGAAGAGTGTGAGGTCGGATGTCAAGCAGCCAGAGGGCCTGGATCTGACGGAGATTCGGGCTGCCCCCGTCTCAGAGCTTCAGATCGCCCTTGCAGACCCAACAGGCGCGATTTGGCATTGCCGGCGTGAGGCTGCCACGGAGATGTTGGGAATCAATGTCAGAACGTGGGACACCCAGATCACTCTCGTGTGGCCGGAATCGACGAGCAATGTCAGACTCGGACACTGGGCATGGCTCGGATCCGAGGAAAGGTAGCGCCAAGCGTCTTCGCGAATTGCGAGACGGTCTCATAACATGTGCCTGCGCCCTTCCTCCCTCTGTGCAGCACTGCCATGACAAGCGTGTATGACATCAGGTCAGGTCCATGCCAGATGGCCCGCTCCGAGCGAGAAGCCCAAGCGTTCGAAACACGCCGTTTGAATGCAAGAAGACCTGTTCAGGAGCCGCTTTTGGAGCGTTTGCATGAGATGGGCAGCAAGCTTTCTGCCCGAAGCCAGGCAGCCTTGACGCGCGTACGTTTCTTCCAAGAAGCATAGGCTGTGAAATTGGCAAGGCATCCTGGCAGCCGCAGCTCAGACAGGCCAAGTCAAGCTGCAAACCTTCGAATTGGATTCCAGCTTTTTGCGACTGGCAGGTTGTAGAGATGCTGAGCTAAAGGCTACACGCATTAGGGGACTGGGTATAGTGAGGACCACCCTGGCAGAACAGAGGTCCTACTTCAAATTTCACTATGTCGTTTTGGCGGAGGGTTGGAAGAGCTGGTGATTTGCCGCTCGCACAAGCTTGTACAGAGTGAATATGGCTTGCAGCCCCGGCGAAAAAATTGCCTGTCATATGTTGGTCGTGACCTGCGCCGCCCCTATTGATTTTTGAAAGCTGAGCCTGCACACAATGCCGTGCCACCTTCTCACAAGCTCTTGTGCGAGAGGTGCATGTCGCAGAGGCTATAGTCGGCACTGGAGAGCTTGATGAGCCCACGAATGCCACAGTCTCATTCGTTCTCATCGCAGAACGCAATGCGAACCCCGAGCACCAGCCCACCCTAGCTATCCCATAGCACGGAGTTCTTACCATTGATAGCTGAAGTCCGAAGTGCATAGGGAATGGCGGTTGTCGCTAACGCAGCAATTGGCGATGGCAAGGCCGCTTGGTCGTAGAGCGGAGCGGCGGAGGGAATAGGAAGAGAAACAGACGGAGCAACTAGGACCTGAGAGCATGAAGTGTGTCGACGGGCGCATCGTGCTCCAAAGGTGCCTTCGCAAGAGCCCAACTGCGACCTGGAGTTGTTGCAAAAATTAGTGGGGCCAACTGGCGCATGGCGAAGTTGGAGCTCACAGCCCGGCGCTCATTTTACCGTTGCAGCATGCGGAGACAGAATAGCGCCACAAAATCTTCTGCAACAGAGTCGCGCGGCAAGGTTGCACCATCACGATCCGGGGTTGGCTCAAGCGCTGGGCGCATTCATCCGGCAGCCCTCTTGCATGAGTCACACACGATTCAAAGCCATGGCCACAGCTGGTTGGATGATGCAGGTACCAGAAGCCAAAGAAGGTCATTGACATGGGCTGTGGCTCCGGCTTCTACGTGCGAGCATTGCGCGCACGTGAAGTAGACTGTGACGGGTGCGGGTCTTGGCAAGGGCCCACTGGCTCGAGCTCCAACTGTTCGCTGTCAAGGTTTGACGGGCACGAAGACACTGAGACTTTGACTGGTGGTCTCTGCTACTGCGCCGATTTCGCCTTTCTGGCATGGTGTTTAGCTGTGCTGGTGTGTTTGCGTGTGTGTGGGGCTCGCAACACGGCATCTTTTGGAATCGATATCCCTTATAGATTGTAATCGTGGGATTCGGAAATCAACGCTAAAGCTACTAGAAGTAGGAACCTGCAGAACCCCAACAAAAGCCCATGCAGGTAGCCGTGGCTTCACGAAACCCACAATGCTCAGGATCCCCTCTCCTATTTCCTGTAATACCTACACTGTCCGTCTTTGTCCGTCTTGTGAGACTCGAAGGCAGACCCCGAGCTGCCGCTGAAGATTGCCTCGGAAGGCGCCAGCCAAGCCGGAAACCGGAAAAGACGTATGTATCATACCATACCTCTGTAATACCGCTAGTGTCTAAGCCTTTGCAGAATCAACATCAAGTATCCGTGTACACATCAATATGTATCTGTCGCTCTGCAGATGTGAATCTACGCAGTATGTGCATGTGTGTCAAAGGTGTGTATGTATGTACGTATGTGTACGTGCACGTGGCAGCCGGCTCCCATTGAGGTCCTACTGTATTATCTATGAGCCATATGTTGGTGGTGTCTTATTGCTAGCTTGCAAGCCCTCGCCCTATCGTTTTTATTCACGCTGTCGGCCAGGGTACGACTGGTGCATCTGCCTCGAAGTCTTCGAGCATGTGCCCGGAGCTCAGCGCGCCGAGCATGGCATGGCCGGCTCATCCTGTGGAGTTGCCGTGTGCCGGATTTCCCAGGCCTAAAGATCTGGAGGACAAGCTGGCAGGGAGCCGAATGTCAATGTCAATGTAAGTTAGAGGGATTGCTTCACAGCTTCCTGCGGTGGTGCAAGGTGGATTGCCTCGTGGCCGGATCCGGAAAGGGCTTGGTGCTGTCTGTTGCGACTCCTGGCCAAGGAGGCTCAACACGAAACCGAGGGCTCGTGCTTGACTTCCTTTTGCGAGCGTTGTGTCGAATCCTCGCAGCAGGTCTCGGCCACGTGAACGAGCAGCCACATGAGTACGTTATTCGACGCCTGGAGGAAGCGGCAAGAGGACGGAGCTTGTAAACTATGCCTACGTTTCGGCTGGGAGGAGAGAGGCCTCGTCTTGGATACAAATTCCCACCTGAGGCCTTGAACTCGGCTTTGATGGCACTGAAAGTGCACTGCCCGGGTCGCTCAGGCTCCGGCAGTACTGTCAGCTTCCCTGGTTCAGGGAAAACCTGCCCCAGCCCAAGTTGTTCAGGTGGAGAGTATGTGCCTCTTGCTTCAATCTTCAAAGACTCCCTGGAAAGCACCGTCAGGTTGGTGTTTCGGAAGCCAGACTCGCCAGACAGCTGCTCCGACCCATCTTGCCATGGTTGTGCGCAAAAATGCATCCTGCTCTGCACATCTCTGCGCGGCGTAGCTTCTTTGAGTAGTGAGTAATTGTGCGGGTGCTTGCCGCCAACTGGCTGAAGCAGCCTCCTGCGGCATGATGCTCGAATACGCAGATCATCGCACACAGTAGGCTTGTTTCTACTGTCATCTTTTGGTTGATTACGTGTGCATCAGCATACATGTTCAGCAAGTATTGTAGGCTTAAGCTGGCAAGTTGCTTTAATGTTTCCTCTAATTCCACCTGTCCGAGCAGCCCAGCACGTGGCCATGGCACCCCTCGCCGAGGTTGGAGTCTTGGCAGTCTGGGGTCTTTAGCTTCGAGCCAGCCGCCGCTGCATGTTCCGGAATGATCTTGGAATTGGGGTGCAAGATGGTGCCAGCCCACGGCCGCAGATCAGATCGCAGGAATTGAAGAATTGCAATAGCACGTGCGCCTCCTCAAGCAGTCCAGGCATTTGCCCTCGGAGTGACTCCACCCTGCCTGCCTTCATCCAGGCCTTGATGCCGTGCCTGGCAAAAGGGAGAATCAGAACAATCATTGCTGTCACTTTGTTTCTTTGCGCTTTGATCGATGGGGCACACAGGCACAATGGCAATTGCATCCAAACTGCTTTCATGATCATGTCTCCGCAAAGCAGGGCCGTCTTGCCAGGCTCGCCTCAAAGCCCAGGCGGGCGACGCACGAAGCTTCGGAGCCAGGCGAGAGCGAGAGGGCGAGGTTGCCAGACTCGCGGCTCGCGAGCGAACCCAGGCATGCTGCCGTCGGCCCTTTCAGCAGCACCATTCCTGGTGGCGGGCGTTGTGGTCCAGCGCAAGATCAAGGTCTTGGCTGGAGTTTCTCGTCGGAGGTGCGGGACGTCTGTATCTTGCTGTACAAGCCGAACCCCCAAAGACGCCGATGCTCGATGACATAAGGGACTCCTGTCAGGCGGATGTCAAGCGCTGGGGCAGCTGCTGTCACCATGAGGGCAAGGGGCCCTTGCCATGAGTAGCAATCGAAAATGCCGAAGACTTTCTCCCAGCATTTGAGATCTGGCATGGATGGAACACGAGGGTGACAGCACTTGGTCATCATATTCAAAGTGCGTTGCCACCACCACGCCCGCTTCTGCGCTGCCATTCCGAGACTGAGACTGACCATGGTTTGAGTCAGGCGACGCCGCAGGAGCCGAACGTGGCCCAAGAAGACGAAGCTCCTGAGGCTAGGTTCAGAGGGTGAGCTGTCACGATGGCAATCGGGGAGCGACCATGCGCCGCAGGAAGTGCCCCCCGCTCCTGACACAGCCGACGACAGAGCCTGGGCTGGCCGAATACATGTCATACGCTTTTGCACGATTGAAGAGGCGTGAAGAGGCGCAGCTCCAACGAGGTGCTGCCTTGTCCCAGCGGCTGCGGCAGCGGCTCGCTTCTACCATTGCGGACCAGGAGGCCCAAGTGGAGGCTCGTTTGAAGAGCTGTCAAGACTCAAGCTTGCTACCCGGCATGTCCCTTGGCACAGCATGTCACTTGGTTGCAGGCTGTGCCAACCGAGGATCAGAAGCGGATTGCATTCTCGACACGTTGTTACTGCGTCTACCATTTGCAGATGCTTGCAGTCTTGCGGAGAGGATGCGATCGCTTGGCAGGTTCAGCAGGAGGTTGACCTGAATGGTATCGATCCGACAGCCACGAGCTTGGCAAGCGCGAATTGGAGCAAAAATCTCTGCTGCGGTCCGGCGAGGCCTGCTTTGTAGGGGCAGCACCTGTCGCTGCTTTGAGCTACGGCTTCTGGACCTTCACGTCGCGATCGGCCGCACTTTGACTGCACGATGGTACCGTCGGCCAGTCAGGGTCAGTTTGTCCGACTTCCTGATCATTTGATTGCTGGCTTGCGCAGCTAGGGCTGTGATCGATGTAAGGAGTGGTTCTACAATCACCCGGTGGTGCGCCCTCGGCACAGTCGCTGCAAACCGTAGCTGAAGCGAAGCCCCAAGAATTCACAATCTGCACTGACAGGAGAGCGAATTCTACCCCGTCCAGCGGCTGGGGCGCCTCCGCTGACATGGATCCTCCTGATGGTGCTGCCTCAAGCTCTGCGTCTCATGATGTTTCCAGGCTTGTCTTCCAAGCCGCCGTGGTCGGTCTTGGTGCCCAGATGCTGGCGGGTACTGTATGAAGATGCGTCCTGTCCCTCTGTGGAAACTATGGACGTCCATGCGTAAATAGGCAGATCGATTGAGCTGCCTTCTTAATGGGCTTACATTTTAAAGCGCTTCCTAAACAGGGCTACCCTGATCGAACGCGAATGTTCTATGATGCATTGGCATTGTGAGGCCTGAGCTCCCTAGCTTCTGGCATTTTCGGCTTCACCGCCTTGGGCATTTTCTTGCTGGGTGCTGCGCTGAGCAGCTCACCCCGAAGTCCTTTTCGTGCACCCAACTGCCTTGTGAGGCGTGCGAGTCAGCATTGGTGTTGGGGCCTCAGAATGCGCAAGCGACGGGAGGTGGCTTTGCAAACGAAGCAGAGAAGCGATTGATTGCCTTCTGTGGCAGTCTCTCCTTCAGCTTCCGCATTGCAGTGTCGTCTGAGGTGCTGTCTGGTGAATTGGATCCGGCAGACAAAAGCAAAGGCCTAGGCGCGACGGGGAGAGAATTCGACAGCAGGGCCGGGCTTGTCTTTGCTGGGGCAGGGAAGCGGTCCACGGCTGAAACTGCATGGGCCCTGGTAGTTCACCATTCGAGCGCAAACGCTTTAGACCTGCTGGGGGAATCAATCAGTTGCCGTGTGTTGTCCGAGCTCTCGCTGGCTCTCGTCGGGAAGCTTCGTGTCGCCGTGGGTTTTGTTTCCCAGCAAACTGGTTCCTGCGGCTGGCAAGCACTCTCCTTGTTGATGGGACTTGTCATGACTTGTTCCGGTTGATTCCGAGGTCTTGGATGTGTTTACAAAAGATCCAGTGGAGGCACGAAGTGGCTGGTCGTTCGACCCTAGAATTGCTCCCTCCGGTCAACGTGCTCACAGGTCGTGAGGGCGGAGAAGGAAAGGAAGAAGGCAGAGCAGCTTCTCGGCATCCAATGCGCAAGCTTTTCCATATCATTTCTGCACCTCAGCAGAGTTGCCAGTCCCTGATTGGGTGCCTCGCATGACACCTTGACTCAGGTTGAGGAGGGATGCTGCAGCATAGTGGCGCTGTGGATCAGGAAATAGCTTCTGCAACGCAAGGGTCCGGCCTTGAGAAGCCCCCAACGCTCGAACAGCTGTTCCGTGGTCCCTGATGGAAGATGGGCTCAAAGTTAGCCTCGGCTTCAAGGGAGTATAGACTTAGAGAGCCGGCTGCAGGTCGGAAGCATGGAGGCATGTGGAAGGCATTTTCATGAAGGCCTGAAGCTGAAGAAGGCAACACAAGTCAAAGCAAGGACCTGGGGTGACCTGAGAGTCTCTGACAAGTCCGACCTCCGAAGAGGGTCGGGCACCTTCGGCTTGATTCCAGGTTGTTTCGTGGCACCCAAGCTTTCCAAACGATGTGCAAGAAAAAGTCAAAAGGATGCGAGAAGAGAGCTACATCAGCCAAGTCGAAAGTATCCTGGGTTGTGGTGGGCGTGCGTTGCCGCATTGCCGGGGAGCTTTCAGTATGGCTGGGCCTTATCAGTGATCAACGTGCCGCAAAGCAGTATTTGCGCATCGCTGGCTTTGGCGGACAGTTCGTTCGCATGGTCGCTGTTGGTCGCCATTCTGTCGCCTTCTGCACTTCTTGGGGCTTGGTTAGGGCCAGCAGTCGTGCGTCGCTTCGGGCTGGTGAGAGCCCTCCGCAGCACAGCGGCCTTCTTTGTGATGTCTGGGCTGCTCTTTCCTTTGTCGGCGAAGGCCGCCAGCAGCAGTTTCTCGCTGGCCTACGGGCTTTTTGCACTGGGCCGGGTAGTTGCAGGTGTTGGAGGTGGAGCAGCAACTGTGTTCGTTCCGCTGTACTTGGGTCAGATTGCTCCACTGGAGCTTCGTGGAGCCATCGGCAACTTGCACCAGGCGGGGTCCGGCAACGTGAACTTGCATGATCGGCCTCCGCTGCTTCTGGCTGTGGTGGGGGGCTCCTGTCAGAGGTCGCCATCGTCTTCGGGCTTTTGGTCGCGCAGCTGGCTGGCGCCACTTTGTCATGGCCATGCGCCCTGGCACTCGCAGCTTCTTTCGGCATAGTCCAGAGCTGCTGGCACGCTTGTGGTTGCGCGGTGCATGGCGACGGAAGTTTGCAAATGCAGTGTCGAAGCTCTGCAGAAGCTGCAGTAAAGATGCCAGGATTCTTCTCATGCCGCGGCTTGTAGGCGTCCAGGAGAAGCGCGCCCAGGTCGGAGAATCCGTGCCGTGAGGTGCATGTGGCATGATGTCGTGAGCTGTAACATGCAAGGAGTCCGATGGGAACGAAGCGATCGGAGAGAGCACGGGCTTCCAAGCGCTGCGGACAGACAGCCGAGTGCGACGGCCTCTGTACATGGCGATCACTCTTATGGCCTTGCAGCAATACAGTGGCATCAACGGAATTTGGTTCTATAGCACAGAATTCTTTGCACGTGCTGGGCTCGCCAACCCCCTCGCCGGCACACTTCTTTCGTCCTTGGTGTTCATGCTGGCGACGTTTCTGTCCGTGCCACTTATTGAGCAGGCCGTACAATCAAGAGTGGATGGAGCGCGACACATACAGATTTGCTCACACAACTTCGCACAGACACACAAGTTGCTTTTGTAGTGTTTTTTTTTTTCTCTCTCTCTCTCTCTCTCTCTCTCTGAGTCTCTCTCTCTCTCTCTCTCTCTCTCTCTCTCTCTCTCTCTCTCTCTCTCTCTCTCTCTCTCTCTCTCTCTCTCTCTCTCTCTCTCTCTCACACACAGAGACACAAACCGCACCAAGATTGCCGCCCGATGCTCGGAGCCTGTGTCGCAGGCAGGGCGGCGAGCCCTGATGCTGCGAGGGCAGGCAGGGGCGCTCCTGTCATTGTCCCTCCTGACGCTGGCGCTCTGCCTAAAGTCGGTGGCCTGGCGACAAAATCAACTCGGACAGTGTGCCAACTGTGCAGAGCCGGGTGCCACGGAAAGGTGGGGTGTCTCGTCACCTTGCACAGCTACCTGAACATGCTTGTCGTCACGGCAGTACTTGGGTTCGTGACGTCGTTCGCGATCAGTCGCTGGGCTTCGACTTAGGATGCTGTCGCCTTCGCCTTGCCGGGTTTGACACGGAGTTTGTCTTGCCTCCTCGCAAGGCTTGGGGCCAATCCCATGGCAGATTGCGAGTCTTGGCGCAAAGAGATGGTCCAAAGTTGGGATTCTCTTCACTACCAGAAGTTTCCGGATGTGAGTTCCTCCTGGCTGAGGAATGAGATCTTTCCTCTGCGCTGCCGGGCGGAGGCCTGACCAACCACCCCTGTGACTCATACTGACTGTGACAGATGTTTAGTTGCAGATGATGTACATCTGCCTGCAGCGTGAGCTGTGATGATCCGCCAGGCACAGTGCCTCATAGCTTCGTCACCTGGAAAAACGATCATATGTTGATGCAAGCAACGGCGGCAGCGGGCTGCTGGTGGGGTCGAAGCCCAGGTTCTGCGAGGTCTTCAATGCGAGCGTGGCTCTGGGCTTCCCTGTGGCTGGCTTGCACCCGATCTCGAAATCGTGCAGCTTGCCGTGTGCGTTGGCAACATGTGAGGTGTTGCAGCGCTGCCTGGGATCGCAGCTCGCGTTCGCACCCAGCGTTCTGGCACCTTTGCAAGCAATGCAACGAGTTGTGACGCCTTTGGGCTTCGAGCTATGTCCGCTCGATGTTCGGCAGGTTCGAGGTTGCTTTTTTTGTTTTACTCGTGAATGCAACCATCAATGTTGGTGTTTCTGCAGCTTCGGACGATCGCCCATCTCGCTCTGCGGTTTACTGTTCATCTGCCTCAGGTGGGGGCAGGGCTCAAAGAGTCGAGTTGTTCCCGAGGTTCTCCTCGCTGGAATACTAGTTGTCAAGAAGCATCTGCCAGTGTTGGCCCCAGCTTAAAGCTGCTTACAAGTGAGGACGTGCATTGACAGATAGCTTTTGATTCAAAACGGGCCCGAGGAAACCAAGAACCGAGAGGTGGAGGATATCTTGGTGGACTTCAATCGGCGAACGTGATTGCTTTCAGATGCGCTAAAACGGAGAAGACTGTTGTGCGAGCATGATGTTTGCACATGACGGGTTCTCTCCTTTACCCTGTAGTTTCTAGGCAGTCACAACCTAGACGCTGCAGCCACTGCTTGCCCAACAAAGTCCAGCACCGCGCCCTGCGCGAGAGCCGCTCAGCTGGAACCAATTGCGTGGATGAAAGGCAAGTGGCCTATGTCACATGTTGTTGCAATCGCCAGCACCTTCCAAAGCCTTCTCTTATCGACACATGTTCGCAGTTAGTGCTTTGAGACTGGCTGCGTCGTTTTTCCCAGAAGAGTTTTGTCACAACCATGTCGGATCGTGTGCCAAATGCCGGTGGTTTGGGGCAATTATGGGCACTGGCCAGTCATGTTACAGGAATGGAAGATTGTAGTTTCACACACACACACACACACACACACGGCTTCCGCAACCACACTGGGATACCGCATTGTGTTTTTCCTGCACGTACGATTCGGAAAGAAGATGATGGAGAATCCGGCCATCAGATTGCACTACGATTGATTATTTGCTGTGTCAAAGATGCCTGATTGAAGTGATCTTGGCATGCCGAAAGGAAACCCCATACTTGCGGATTTCACTCGTAAAATTCCAAGCAGGTTGCGAAAATTGTGCTCATGCCGTCACAGTTATCAAAGCTCGAACGGTTTTTGGTGGTGATGGTGGTGGTGGTGGTGGCGGAGGTGGTGGAGTAGAGTTCCAGTAGTTCCAGTGGTCTTGGTGGTGCAAGTGCAAGTTGTGATGGTAGTAATGAAGGTTGGAGTGGGAGTAACGGGAGTAGCAGCAGCAAGAGGAGTACTTGTGGTGGCGGTGGTGGTGGTTGTGGTGGTGGTTGCGCAGTGGCAGTAGCAGGAGCATGTGTAGCATCCACGTAACATGCAAATACCTGTGACGAGCGTCGCGTGCTTGTTTTTCATCAGCCAAAAGCGACGTGTGAGAATGCCGGCATTAGAGGCTCCAGGACTAGAACTTGTCATTCATGCAGCTTCTCAAGGCCATGGCGGCCCCGCGAACGCGGACGGGCAGCGGCGGCTCGAGCAACGACTTCAACTTCAGGGCAGCAGGCTGTCAGGGCTTTTTGTTGTCGTCGATTATTCCCTCTCTATTGTGGTTTGTGGGGCTTCGGGTTTGGAGTTTCTTTTGAAAGTTTGTCTTGAACTTGAGCCTCAAAGCCCGAGGGCTTTCTCCGAGCTCAAAGGTTCCAAATTCTACAGTCACGACCAAAATCAAATGCCCGACAGTACCCCATGACCCCAGAACTGGTGGGGTTGATTTCTAGCAGGGTGGTGCAATTTAGTGGCACTTACGGTTATCCAACAAGCCTCACGAACCGCAGTGTCAGGCCATGTTTGTTAGGCTTCCCAACATCGACGGATCCAGTCACAAGACCGTTTTTCGCCGTCAATGTCCAGTGGTGACAGTGGCTCAGATGAGCTCATCTTTTGCGTTTGCTTGCCGGTGTCTTGGCTCTTTCTGTCTCTGCTCCTTTTGTTGCCTACTGCTGTGTTCGACGGTCCGGCATGTTCGCAGGATCAAAGACCGAAGCAGCCATAAAGGAAGCTGGGCTCTTACCCACAGCTCTGCGAGTGTCGAGCTTCGGTCATTCGGAGAATTGAGGAGGGCGCATCTGTTGAAACCTGCGCGTGCCAGATGGAGCACGGAGTGCACAAGTTCTTCACTGGCATGGAGGAGTCCCTGAGCAAGATCACCAGGCACTCAAAAGAGCAGAACATGCTATGGGCGCATCTCTGGATTGTTAGAAGTTAAGTGGAGTGAAGACCATGACGAGCTCATGGACCTGCACGAACTGAGCGCCCATTCCGTTCGCCCGCTTCGACTGCTCGCAATCTGAGCTGCAATCCGATGCCAGGCCCAGTTGGCTTGGCGGTGGCAGTCTTGGCCTCGGCTGCCCAACAAACACCACAATCACTTGTAGCAAAGTTGGCTAAGGTGGCCCTTCCAAACAAGCTCCCGCACCACCCGTTGTGCATAGCAAGCAGGCAGACGATGGCTGCTCACGTATGTCCTGACATTCCGACGAGAACTGTGCTTGCAGGAACACCCCACACCGACCCCAAGTGGTGAAGATGATAGCACCATGCGGTCGGGCACCCGATGAGCCTAGGCTGCTCCTCGGTGTCCTTTTGCAGACGTCGCGTCTCAGGCACCACTGCGCAGCCTTGGAGCGATTAGTGGAAATGGGCCTCTCGCCCCAGGCAGTCAGGATTTCCAGGTTGTGAACTAACGCATATTGTAATTGCTTGCTGCTCCAAAGTCCACAACACCGCCGAGCAGTGCTTCACCAGAAGATTTTCATGTAGCTGAGTCCTAGCTGTGCATGATGTTCAGGCAGCGAAGGTTGCCGTCCGACATTTGGACAGCTGGCTGGTAAGCGAGGTTGGCCGGGTCCGTGGCGAGCAGTTTTGCAGACTTGCAGTCTGTTGCACCAGGATGGCCGGTCGGAGATGGCCGTGGCGGAAGCAGAAGCAACCAGCACAGGAGAAGCCATCTTGCATGCCCGTGCCTCGAGACACAGCCCGAGCGAAGCGCGAAGCGCGAGCCCGAGACTGTAGCTGAGGTGCATGACCAAGTTCGCTTGGAGGGGCTTGTCAAGAACAAAGGCAGGGCTCAGTAAGGCTCCCACAAAGCACGTACACTACACCGCTCCTGCCCGTCCAGGCACCAATGGCATGAGCTCTCCTGAGCTTCTCTTGCAGAGCAGACTGAGCAGATCATGCGCTGAACGGCCTTCAGGATGGGCACGCTGGAAGCTTACGGTGCCGAAAGCCACCGCTGGAAGGTTCGTTTGACAGATGACCAGGCGGGTTCCCGGGCTCCAACGGTCCAACACCTTATCGGAGGAACTGGCTCCCGACTCCTGACTGTCAGGTCTTTTGGATCAAGCCGAAATTGCTTCGGCCTTTGAAGATGCAGCGCTTCACTGCCACCTTAAGATGCTGGGCAGCCAGCCTTCAGAATCATGGTTAGCTCCAGCCTGCCAGGGATGCCGCTGCCTTTGCCGGATCCGTCGCCGCCCGAGCACACAACTGGCGAAGACGAGCAGGCAAGGTCTCTAATTGATCCCGCTTGACGAGAAGAAGTCCAGCCCTCGCTCCCTGAAAGTGCTGGTGTTTGCAGCTGCGCAAGCGCGAGCGCCACAAGATAAGGAACATAGCATGCGCGAAGCTGAAAGTCCACTGCATCAAAGTGGCTAGGTGCATGGCATGGGTTACTGACTACTGACAGCATACTTACAAGAACTACAGGCGAAAAAGTACTCGTAGTTCAAGCTAAAGGACCGTTTCCCACAGTACCCTATGCTGATCCTATGCTGTATCAACATCACTGTTGACGATTTTGTATGAAGTCAGGCACATCCACAGAACTATAGGTTGTACCGGGATAGATGCATGTGATTCTCAGTGCGTGCATATACACTGAGGGATCAGTGACTTGGCACAGGTATGGGGTTGTCTCAAGTTATCTCGTTGACCACAGATAACACTAAATTGAAACTTGCTACTGCTGCTAGGCTGCTGCTACTGCTCCACCCTCATCCCCATCACCATTCCCCGCCGAAAAATGGCTTGGCCTCGACCTCCCGGCGCTTGGGTGGCGCCTTCGGCCGGTGGGTTTGGTGCGCGCTCCGCGGCTGCATGGGGTGTGAGGGAGCAGGGCTTAGGCCTGTGCGATTTCTTGCGTTCGGACGTAGTCTGAAAGCTGGGCTGAGAATACAAGAGGGACGGGCTTAAACTTCGGGGCTTCAGAAAGAGGATTGAGGGCTTTAGCGCCCGGAAAGAGCAGGCATGTCAGCTCGGATTCTGCAGCTGTTTCGATATTGGGTTGGCGCGAGGCAATGCTGCAACAAATTTGTTTGAGCGTGCACATTTAGAGATTTTGAACTACGGTAGGCCTAGCTTTCATTCAGACCGAAGACTACGCATTAGACCCCAAGACGGTTGCCTTAATGCCCTGAAGGCTGTCAAGCTCCATGTTTGACTCCATGTATGGCCCATTCAAAGTAGGTCTGCAAGGTCGACGGTAGAAGCATCTGTTTGGCCCTCGGTTGAGAACCTAGCTACTTGGGTATTCTTGAATAATAAGTCGTACTGCCCTTCAGCCCTAGACCCCGACACGATGCTCTCAAGCGTAGATGGTCGAACTGTGTGAGTCTCGGCTGCCCACCGGATGCTTACCCAATGCTCACAGCTTCAGAGTGTTACCTGTGCCGATAGCCCTGCGAAGCAAGCCAAAGTCGCCTCCCACTCTACGGAAACCCAGGGCTGCAGCTGGATGGGCAAAGCTACGAGATCCGATATGGGCCCGGGCAAGACTTCGAGACTCCGGAGGACTTCTTCGCACCTTGCCGGGCAGCCCTCAGAGAGCCGCCCCTAAGCTGAGTTGTGTCCTGAAAGGGCCCAGACACCCCAATATCCCTAACATCCCAATTCAATTACTTCAGACTCAGAACACTCATCCATGCTATAGTTTTCGGTGTACTCCGAAATTTTGGGGTTTTGCTTTCGCTAGGGTCTACCGAATCGGTGATGCAAGCCGGGCAAGGTGCGAGGAAATGTTGCGAGTTGTGGAGGCACTCGGAGGCTTGGAGTCTTTGCCACTGGATCCACACGGAACCTTGCGCGTGGCACTGCCTTTCTGTGGCAGCATGCGATTGGGCTGCACGACGCATCCACTTCTTGTAAGCTTGACGGGTTCACTGTTTCTTGCCCTCCATTCCACTTGTGCGTTAGCCTGCCAAGGCAGGAGTTGCCGATCCTGGCGCACTTTCTATCAACACGCTGCTCAGGCGGGAAACCTGAAGACATCTGAATGAACACACTGTGTGTGTGAGAGTGACGGAACTGTCACGATGACTTCGCACTAGTGGCGATGCTGAGGCCTCCCTGCATAGAGGTACTCGGAGTCCTTTCAACTTTTGTCTCTGAAGCCACGCAGGTCGGCAGGGA